ATACTGGTATGTTAGTTCACCTAATAGTTTTAGAATGCAGGCTAATAGGGGACGTACAACAAATACGATTTCAGGACCTGAAAAAAGTTATATGTTTGGCCCACCTGACTATTCAACTTGAGCTGTTTCAGAGAATAAAGGAAGTTCAATTTGCCGATTCCATCCTAGCAGCTCTTAGGAAAGATGCAGAATAGGGAGTAAGTTAAGAATTTTGAGTTTTTGCCGATAGGTTGCTCAGACTTTAGGACAGAGTGTATGTTTCAGGTGATAGTGAACTGAAAAGGGACTTCATGACAGATGCTCATATCTCAAAGTTTGCCATTCCTCCTGGAAGCACTAAAATGTATCAAAGTATGCGATCCCGATTTTGGTGGAACGAGATGAAAAATGAGGTAGCCGACCTTATTTCCAATTGTTTAGTGTGTCAGTAGGTCAAAACAGAGCATCAACCCCCAGACGGGTTACTTCAGCCATTACCAATTTCAGAGTAGAAGTGGGAACGTATCATAATAGATTTTGTGACAGGTTTACTTAGGGCACGCTTGAGATATGATGCCATTTGGGTAATTGTTGATCGGTTCACTAAGTCTTCTCACTTCTTAGCCATCAAGATGACCGACCTCTTGAACAAGCTAGCTAAGATCTATATTTGGGAGCTAGTTAGGCTACATGGAGTTCTAGTGATAGTGGTATTAGACAGGGAACCCAGGTTCACCTCTCCGTTTTCGACAAACTTTCAATAAGCAATGAGAACGAAACTTTCCCTTAGCACATCATTTCACCCTCAAATAGATGTCCAATCAGAACAAACCATTAGTACACTGGAGGATATACTCAAGACTTGTGTTCTTGACTTTGGAGGATATTGGGACGATCACCTACCCCTGATAGAGTTCGCTTACAATAGTAGTTATCAAACAAGTGTTGACATGGCTCCGTATGATGCATTGTATGATCGACCTTGTAGATCGCCGATCTGTTAGGAAGAGGTGGTGATTGAAAATTGATTGGTCCAGACCTTATAGATGATACCACAACGAAGATAGTTAAAATCAGAAAGAACATCCAGATATTCCATAGTAGATAGAAGAGTTTCACAGACACCCAAAGGAGAGATTTAGAATTTAAAAAGGGCGATTGAGTTTTTCTTAAGGTCACCCCCTTTAAAGGTATTAGCAGATTTGGAAACAGGAGAAAGTTAAACCCTTGGTTTATCGGACTGTTTAAGATCTTGGACATGATTAGAACATATGCCTGCAGATTAACATTACCTCTAGAATTATCTAGAGTCCATAATGTGTTTCATATGTCTATGCTACGCAAGTACAACCTAGACCTCTCACATGTTTTATCTTATCAGTCACTTCCATTCTAGGAAGATCTATCCTATAAGGAGATACCGGTTAATATTTTAGACCAGAAGAGTAGAGTACTTCGCAATAGAAATTTTTTTTTTGTCAATATTCTATGGCAGAATCACTCGAAGAACAAAGCCACTTGGGAGTTAAACTTAGACTTCAAGGCCTAGTACCTTCAATTCTTTGACTAGTGAGAGACCGATAAATTTGAGGGACCAAATTTTCTTAAAGGGGGAAGACCTGTAACACCTAAACCTAGAATTTAGGATCGAAATAATTAAATCAGAATAATAAAATAAATTAAAAAAAATTATTTTTAAATTTTATTTAAATTTTGTTGAAAAAAATTATGTTTGGATGCATTTGAAAATATTTTTAAAAATCAGGGCCAAAATATTAATAAGAGAGGACTAGTTGAAAAGAAATATGAAAAATTGGGATAAAAATAAGAATAATAAAAATTTGGCAACGTGGACCACCATGTTAGCAGCGCAGCTGGTCACCATGCGTCGCATGGCAGACACATGGACAAATGTCCATGCGGGAAGCCATGTGGTTGATCTGCGTGCCAGTAGATCCAACGGCTCAGATCTTCTCCTGCACACACGAACGATCCAGATCTATTTCCTCTTTAGACATGATCGAACAGTTAGATTTAATCCGATCGTACAGTCTAGATTATTCCCCAAATAAGAGTGATCCAATGGATGGGAAGGGCCACGTGTCCCTGCACGGACGAGCCAAATTGACGCCGGGGAGGGGGAAGAGGAGTATTTAAGTGTCACATCCTAAGGAACTTTAATCCTATCGTCACTTGTCCTTGCAGGATAAGAAGAAGAAGGACGGTCGGAAAGAAAATCGATCGTCACCGCCGCATCAGAGTCACCGTCGATACCGGAGAGGTAAATTTTTTTTCTGTTTCATTCAAAATTTGATTTCAAGCCTCCCCACACCCATATCAGAGCCAAAAAGTCAAAAAGGAAAACCAAAAACCAAGAGCGGAGCTCAACCGAGCTGTCGTGGCCACGACTTAAAAATCACTCCAGTGAGCCCTTTCTAGTTTCTTATTCTCTTTGATCTTTTGACCGTTGTGTTCTTAACTCTTTTCTAGTGCAGGTCGATCAAAGAGAATCCCCAACCACAAGAGAGGAACGGCAAAGCCGCTCCACTAAAAAATTTCTCCGCCAGTAATGCTTTGGTTTTTTCTTTTCTCGGCTGACAGAGGCTGCCTAATCTCGTTTCTTTGTAGATTTCGTACAAACCTGGCTAAGACTGACCAAAACTGGCTAAAATCGGCCAGGTTGAGAGGAGACGCCACCGTGGGCGGCGGCACCGTGCCGGAAACCTAAACCGACCAAAAAAAATAAAACAATGCTTATTTTAGCCTTTTTGGGATATTTTAAGATATGTGACGTGTATTTTTGATTTTCATGGAAAAACTCAAGAAACCCGAGAACCGCTAGGAAGTGTAGTGAAAAAGGCTATGTTTCGAACACTGACTCAGAGTAAGAATCAATCACCTGTTATGGTTAATTAAAGTTTAATAAATAATAACGGTGTAATTTTTGAATATCAGAAATTTCTAATTAATTAAATATAGGTCACTAGTGGAGCCGGTAGTCGGTCGTTACGAATTGTTATTTTACCTATACTGTTTATTGGTAGGTCGTTATTATTGCTTACCGCGTGCACTTTAATCATAGATTTATTTTCCATCTCGTTATTGATTGCTTAACCGTTATTCTCAGTTGTTGATGGATTTAAAATAAATGTTATAATCACGATTTTTCTTAATTGTTAACGTATCAGTCTATATTATCTATTTAAATGCCATTCCTGAGATATAGAAATATAAAATATTTGTGTGTAATTGGTGACTGGTTGATGACATGAATATGTGTATAAAAAGCTTATTTGGTATCATGGGAAAGGGTGTATGGACCCAGTACATAGGACAAACTCTACTGTGAACATTATTTTAGTCGAATGGGACTGAGAAGTTCTATATCAGAAGGGATTGGGAAGTATTGTTCACCCTTATACCGGACGTAGTATTGAGACGGTGGTATATTTGACGCCTATTATTGGACGGGGTATGGGGACGACCAGTTAATTGATAAAATGGATATTGAGTCCACGCATAGGGGGGACCTTTATGGATCCCCAGGGGTACCGGTAAGTAGGTAAAAAAATAACATTTATTGTTATAGTTCCTTTAAATGTATAATAAATTGGTATATTGATTATTACTTTCATAAGTCATATTTGAGAACAGAAAAGATAAGTATGATCTAAGTTTTTAAAATTAAAAAAAATTTACCAAAAAAAAAGAAAAATGACTCAATTGGTTATTTTATGATTTTTACCAATCTTTGGTTTTCTGTATCGGTGTTAAGTGTTTACATTCTTACTGAGTTAGTGTAACTCATCCCCCTTATTTAACAATTTCAGATCAGGAAGATCAAGATCCGGATCTTGAATAACAAGAAGGTTGCGATTAAAGTTGCTTTCAGCATCCCATAAGAGTTGCCCAATGAATGTTGACCCTACAGGATTTTAGTTACATTCTTATTTTTTTTATTTTAATTTTCTAAAAAGAACATTCCTCTAATTTTATTGGATACTCATATTTACTATACAAGAAATGTAAACCCTAAACTCTTAATTACTTTTGTTATTATTTTATTAATTCAATATTTTTTTTATTAAGTATTAGACTTTTACACTACAATATTGTTGGTATTCCTAAATAACGAAATAATGATAAATAAAATAGAAAAAAAATTGTAATTTAACTTAAGTTTTGGAACGAAGTAATACAATTTAGGATGAGACAAATTTGTCTTGCAATGATGAGGAACACAAAATACAAGTATTGGTGAAATTAAAGTACACTAAAAAAGTGCATCAATAATATGAATAAATCAACATTTTACACTTGTACTTTGTTACGAAAGATATAACTATACTTTATTGTTCAATTCACTCCCATTGTTTTTATTATGCGAAACACTACCTTAAAGTTTATAGGAGGACCCCTCACAAATTTTGAGTAACATTTTACATGTATATATATATATATACACACACACACACACACACACACGTTCTCTTCAAAAAAGATAGTTTTTTTTTTTCTCTATTATTCTTCCTTAATTTACACTTCCTCTGGATTTTTATTACTATTTTAATTGTTTATCAAATTAATTTTTTGATGCAATTATTTCTCTAAATTTTCATATTTTTATTATTAATGATTATCAATAAATTTTAAGCATACAAAAAATAAAAATATAAAACTATTATTGCTCTTTTCTTTAGATAGAAGGTTTACTCTTTATTAAAGTTGGATTTTTATTTTAAAAAATTAAAGTACAACTTTACGGTTGTAGTTTTCTACTTTTTATCTTTTTAATTTTTAAAGTTAAAAGTTGCATCAAATCAAAATATTTTGATAAAAAAAAATATAAATTTATGATCATAACCTTTTTAACGTTCTAAAATCAGCCGGTTGTAAAAACACTCAGAAAATTCTACCGCACCTAATAATTTCCCGTATACCGCGTAGACTGCGGCTTGAATCCGAAAATATCCTTCATAAATACTTCAATTTTCTCCTCTCTGGTTTCCTGTTCTTCTCCCTCTGTCTCCTCCTTTCCTTCAAAAGCAAGGAATAAAATCACAGCGGGGGAAAACCTGATAATCCTTGACACTGTTTCCATTATTTACTCATTCCGCTCCTCGGTTTATCTTTAGGAAAGCTCCAAACTCCAGACTTTGAAATTTCGAATCTGTAAAATTGGTTCACCAGAAAAGGAAAGTTCACTACTTTATATGAGCTGAAATCTCTGGGAATCCAAACAGGCATTAACTCTTTTTGGACCCTACTTTGTATTTTTCTACAGCCAAGTATTGGGTTTTTATTTGAATATTTCTATTTATAAAGGAGGAAGAGATTTTTGGGTTTTCTTTGGTGGAGTATAATTATGGTGTATTGAAAAGAAAATTACAGAGTAAGAAATAACAAGAAGAGGAAGAGTTGGTGATGGTGATTTGATATGTGGACCTAGTCTTTTTGGGTTTTTCTTCAAGGTTTTGGTTTGGATTGTTAATTTGTTCACACAGATAAGATTTTCCATGGATGGCCTGCTGTCTTTTTTTATTATTACTTCAATTTTCTTTTCTTTTTATTTAAATTTTCTTATGGTGTTTTTATATTCACTTCTATCGATAAGGAAAGACTTGAGAGAACTCTCGGTGATTTTAGCACAGATAGCTTATGCTACAGTCGTGATCCTATTAAAAGCTTGTTCTGTTCTTCTTGTTTTAATTTTAATTTTCAAAATTTGATTTTGAGCGAGATAGAGATGGTAAGAAACTCATTGAATTTTTGGTTTCATGGTATTCCATTTTGTTTTCGTCATGTTAAAAGTTTATCTATGTTTGTTTCCTGATATAGTCAATTTCTCAATATGATTTTTCTTGTCTGCGGTTTCAGGGTTTGATTACAAATTTCTGGTTAAAAGAGTCTGAACAGGAATATGCCTGCTGAATCAAATATGATGAGGAGAGCACCAACAATTCAACATTTGAATAACTCAGCAGGAGATCTTGACAGTGAAGTGGGTGTTTCAGAGTTTGCAAGATACACAGTACACATTCCCCCTACGCCTGATAATCAGCCAATGGAAATCTCTATGCAGTCACCGAATCGGCATGTTTCTAGAACTGTTCATGACACAGGCCACGCCCAGATGGTTGGCTCAACAAGGTCAATATGTGCTGTACCTGGATGCAATCGTGAGATCATAAGTGATGAGGAAGGTATAGATATAGTCCCTTGTGAATGTGGTTTCAAGATTTGTAGAGCTTGCTACAGAGACACAATTAGTGCTGGTAATGGCGCTGAGGTTTGTCCTGGGTGTAAAGAGCCTTATAGGAGGTTGTATGTGTCTGATGGGGAAGAAAAGTTGTCATTGGTGAAGTCGTCGTTCACAAAATCGCCAACAAAGTCTTCGGAGAGAGCTTTGACAAAAAGTCGGACTAATGAGTTTGATTACACAAATTATTTGTTTGAATCAAAGAGAAATTATGGGTATGGAAATGCTGTCTGGCCAAGAGGCGATGATAGTGGGAATGATAAGGGTGTCAGTAATGGAATTGATGGGGACACCAAAGTTTTTAATGACAAACAATGGAAGCCGCTTACTCGGAAAGTGAAAATATCTGCTGCAATTCTTAGTCCATACCGGTATGAACTCTGGCTCTAATGGTCATTTCTGTTTGTTGGATGATGATTTGCTTTTTTTAGTTTAATAAGTTATGCATCTTTATCTTTCTGAGCATTTGTAGTTCAAGTTGGTCTGATTGTACAGAAAAAGTATTAGTTTTTCTTTATATAATCTCTTGATGGTTAATGCTTTGATACCTTCAAATTTCTTAAGAAGTATGATGGTACATCCTTGTGTGATATTGCTTTCCAATTCCATAATTAATTTGTTCTGATGCCTCTGGATGCTGGATTCTTTTCTGCTTTTCTTGATGTTTCTAGTCTCATTTATTCATGCTATTGCAGTAAGTTGAATCATTTGACAAAACTATAGTCTTCCTTACTTTTTCTTTTTTTATAATGTCATGTGGTAGGATATATATAGAACTATTATAAATTTTCTTCTGAATAATACTGTTAGAAAGCAAGCTCAGACCCATCCTTGACATGGTTAATGTGTATTTGTAGGCTCTTGATCTTGATTCGAATATTGGCTCTTGGATTATTTCTATTTTGGAGGATTACAAATCCTAATGAAGATGCAATCTGGTTGTGGGGTATGTCTGTGGTTTGTGAAATCTGGTTTGCCTTCTCTTGGCTACTAGATCAGCTTCCTAAGCTCTGTCCTGTTAATCGTGCCACGGATCTTGATGTCCTAAAGGAGAAGTTTGAAACACCTAATTCTTATAATCCACTAGGAAAATCTGATCTACCTGGCATAGATGTCTTTGTTTCTACTGCAGACCCAGAGAAAGAACCTCCTCTTGTTACTGCAAACACCATTCTGTCAATTCTAGCAGCTGACTATCCTGTTGATAAGATTTCATGTTATGTGTCTGATGATGGAGGTGCGCTTCTTACGTTTGAGGCCATGGCAGAGGCTGCTAGTTTTGCCCAAATCTGGGTTCCTTTTTGTCGGAAACATGATATCCAACCACGAAATCCTGAGTCTTATTTTAACCTGAAAAGGGATCCCTACAAGGATCAAGTTCGTCCTGATTTTGTCAGAGATCGGAGGAAGGTGAAACGTGAGTATGATGAGTTCAAGGTGAGGGTCAATGGTCTTTCTGATTCAATCCGACGAAGATCTGATGCCTATAATACTCGGGAAGAGATGAAGGTTTTGAAAAATTGGAGAGAGAACAATGGGGATGAACCAATGGAAAGTTTGAAGATTTCAAAAGCTACATGGATGGCTGATGGAACTCACTGGCCTGGGACATGGACTGTTCCTGCCCCTGAGCACTCAAGGGGTGATCATGCGAGCATCATACAGGTAAACTATTTGACAACATTTTCTAATTTTCTAGCCTGTGAATTAATCAAGATAAGAGACGATATAATCTCTAGTAATTTATTTTTCTATATGGACCACAGGTGATGTTGGATCCTCCCAGTGCTGAGCCACTAAAAGCTACTGAAGTTAATGAAACTTCAATGGATGTCAGAGAGGTTGATATTCGCCTTCCTATGCTGGTTTATGTTAGTCGTGAAAAACGGCCTGGTTATGATCACAACAAGAAAGCAGGAGCCATGAATGCTCTGGTTCGAGCATCAGCAATAATGTCCAACGGCCCTTTCATTCTTAATCTTGACTGCGATCACTATATCTACAATTCTGAAGCATTGAGAGAAGGCATGTGCTTCATGATGGATCGTGGAGGAGAGCGCATTTGCTATGTTCAGTTTCCTCAGAGGTTTGAAGGAATTGATCCATCCGATCGATATGCTAATCACAATACTGTTTTCTTTGATGTAAATATGCGAGCACTTGATGGCCTTCAGGGTCCAGTTTATGTTGGAACTGGATGCCTCTTTCGCCGGACTGCACTTTATGGTTTTGAACCACCTCAGTTGGAAGAGCAGACTGGTTGTTGCAGCTGTTGCTTTCCTCGCCGCAAGAAGTCTGCAACTGTTGCTTCTGTCCCTGAAGGAGATGATGAAGAGATGCAACTCACTCTTATTCCCAAGAGGTTTGGAAACTCCTGTATGCTTGTTGACTCTATCAGAGTGGCTGCATACGAGGGCCAGCCTCTCGCTGATCATCCTTCTATACAAAATGGACGAAAGCCTGGTGCTCTGACAGCTTCAAGGGAGCCTCTGGATCCCCCCACAGTTGGTGAAGCAGTAAATGTAATCTCCT